AACTCCGAGCAGTAGACCTAGTACCCCATCATCAACTTCAAGCAGACCTGATACCCCTTTGAGTAGATCAAGAACTCTATCCACCAGCATCATGCATCTTGAAGATGGTGGATCAGAGGGTGAGCTGGAAGTTCAGGCGAAGCAAAAAAACCAACAAGAGAGAAGGGATGCATTAAATGACAGACGTGACCTGCTATAGATGCCATGCAGATTAAATGGCTACAGGCAAGAAAAGCTCAAAAGCAAGTTATCAGTCGACACTCAATTGCTGCATGTTGTGCAAGAGGATGTCGGAATTAATAAAAGGCTAACGCATATAAGCTGGACAACTTGGACAAGCAGCAGGCAGACAATATGAGTATATAAACTAACATCAAATATGGAACAGCTTACTGGGTCTATTAAGATGGATTTGCAATGCTACGACAAATTATGCTTCAACCATGTGCCATGCCACAACAATTTACAGCACCGCCAGCCGGTTATCGTGATACCTACCAGCTTGCACAGCCCAATGTGAATAGTGATAACCAATTTGCTCAATCACTATTTCCAAATGATAGGTGAACCCTGAACGCATCGATATGTCTTCAAATCAAGGCGCATTGTTTACACACCACTTGTGCGTAGTAGCTCTTCACATGTAGTTATCCTATTAAATTCAATACACATATAAACACGTAATTTCTTACTTATGATTAACAATGTTACAACACAACGTTCAATCTCGAGCAACAATATTTTTTAATGCTGTGTGTGCCTCTGAAAAGTAGATTTTTCTCAGCGACGCTAATTAGTCATAATCTGTCAAACACCGGTGTTCTGCTTCAGACGAAGATTACACCGTTATACTACACCATGGCAGTGCCGATCCATGCACATAAAATGCGCAAGCAAGACGTGTTTGGTCACCTTGTTTTTACAACTCTACCCGCGATATCAGAAAATTGAAATGGTAACCTCGAATCCCATCACGAAAATCGGACGTCAGCATGAAAAGACATGGTCCCGTCTCCAAAAAAGATTGTCAGACTGTACCTTCGATAACGCCAGAATCATTCCGGATAATATAATCAATTTCCTAACGCACAAGGCCACAAGTGTCAACAGCTGCCTCGGCTATCTCCTACTCCTACCGACGATCATTGCCACTGTCTCCTACCTACTGAGCAAAGCAAAAGTTACCGTTTCAACAGTGAATCGCGACCAATCCACAAGCCTTTACACGATATTCGTCGGCTACCCTGGCACCGGGAAATCTCCTGCTATCGAACATGGCTGTATGAAGCCAGTTCAAAGTGTCCTGCGAGACGACGTGAAAAACGGCCTTCTTGACCGAACAACTTCCTCCGGTTTGGTCAAGCATCTTTCCATTCACGGGGCTGGATTTATCGTTTCTCCTGAAGTATCTGATGTTTTGAAAAAGATGCCATGAGAAACGAACGGGATGCCTTCACAAGTGAAATCAACGATGCCATTGCCGACGGAGAAACAACACCCCGCCCCAAGTCTAAAAAATTAGACCTTTTACCGAGAATGGCCGCATCTCTCCATGTTTTACAACATGCTATGGAATGTGCCTTAGCCGGTGAAGAACAGATATTAAGAATCCCTAAGACCATACCCAAAGAGACATTCGAGAAAGCGAAATTGTACGTGGATCATGTTGAAAATCAAAAACACATGCTGTGTGAGGTTAGTAACACATTGTGGCCACAAAATTTTCATACGACTTTATAACAAATCTTATGATTACCGCCCCTACACTTATTATAATACATTTACGTATATAAATTGATACACTGATAAATACCGATGACAATTTCCTTCCAAGTCTTGCTAGGCTATATGTTTAACTTTCGGATATCTATAACTGCACTGTTTAACAATAATCTCAAATGCAAAATTGCTGTTTTTTAAAACGTTTTCAGTTCATCAAAGTCCATAACTAATGACACTTGCATGTGATGCAGAAAGACCACAGCCGAACGCGGGGAACATCAAGCCGGGAATATTGTTTTTTTGGGAAACAGCTGATTTTGGAGAAATCCCTATCCACCATCGAGTTTGCACGTGAGAATGGTATGTGCAAACCATGGTGCCATGAAGAATGTTGCACTATCACCGCGACCAGTGCATAGAGTTTAGCGTAGGGAAGTGACGTTTGAGAACGCGGATTCTAAAACTGGAGCGCTTCAAGCCATTTTGATTATTAAAAAGCCATGCAAATAACTATACGTAGCATTTTCGGATTGTCCGCTTTTGCTAGGACAGTGTTAAAGACTTCGATGGATAGTTGTGAGTAGTAGCTGTCTATTTGGCTTTAAACAAGCATTGTTAAAATGTCGACCAATAGATCCTATTGATATCTCGGCGAATTATTTTTTCTCAGTCTTCTTCAGTTGTGCAAACCGTTTATAACAAGCGTCTATAATGAGCTATAATGGCGACGCCAGCCTGACGATTGAGTCTCGCTATGCTAATATTTAAGTGCTTATCGACAATGAAAACAATCAATTTTTAGTAGGAAACGAATTATATCGATATTAGAATAAACTTGCATTTGTTGTCGCTTGTTTACCCATGAAACAAAATAAATCCTGAAGATGGAAAATGTCATCGAGTTTTTCATTACTGAAGAAGCCAGATGTAAGATAAAATAATTCTTGCTGTTTCCTCAAATTGCAATATAAAAGTTCCCGATGTATATTTTCATTTGTTCGTTTTCTTCTTTGCATAATAATTGTGATATTATTATTTTGTTTCTTCTTATGTTCATGTTTTATTAAGTTGAGCCGCGCTTAAATTCGGTATTCCGCGTTTCATTGAAGCTAACTCACATGCGGGCAAAGTTTCCAACAACATTCAATAGTATAGTTTTGATACACTGCAGAATCAGTTGTCATTATTCGTTGATGTTTTGCCCCTTTTGAACTCTGCCGTTTGTTTATCGAACCGTGCACGCAGTTCTCGCTTCTCATCTCGTGATGTTATAGCAAATGAATAAATGTGTGTTTTGGCGCCAGGCACATAGCATATTGTTCGTAATGATAATTTGAAAAATAACATGGCGTATTTAACTTTCTAGCACAATTGAATAGATCCCATTAAAGAGATTGCGTTCATGTTCTCAGACAGACCGACCTAAACAAAGTGTCCCAAAAAGCATCTCTGTCCGAGTTGAATTGGTTGTCGATAAAATTTTAAAAGGGACAAAAAACCGCTTAGTTTTTTCAAGATAAAGAGCTTCAACTGACGGTAAACATGTCGCCTGACCAAGAAAAACAGCCAGCGAATTTAGCATTGATTATGCAACCGAGACATTTGCTGTGTGGATTTCGCAAAGTCATCCCTTTGTTGCTGATAGTCTTTAATCTTCAAACTTTTGTATATGGTCTTGCACCAAATGAAGGTACGTGTTGAAAAATACGTGTAACTTTTCCTTTCTAGTTTGCCTTGCAGTGTTAAAGTTTATCTTTCCAGCGATACGCAAAACACAAACCGTTGCGTGGAGACGCACCTTGCTAACTGCTTAAGTTTTACGAATTTTCTGCTAAAAATAAATTGGATTCCGAAAGGAAATTTCGGAAGTTACGTATGGGGATATTTGTCGATCAAAATGTATAGTATCGATGAGTAATTTTCAAACCTTTGAACAGGATAAAACTTTAGTTATTGACTTCAGAAAAAAAAAATTGAGATAAATATCACGTTGCGTTGCGTCTGGTAACAATGTGTGAATCTCGAAGGCGAAGCCATTTCTCAATTTCTTAAGGTCTTTCTCAATTTGACGGGAATATAAAAATACCTTAATACGCCATAATGGCTGAAAATGACCAAATCGTGTGTTAAGAATTGCAGGTCGAAAATCATGCAGATGCATTCTGTCACCTCTGGGAATCCACGCATTAAAGCTCGTAATAAATTCAAATTTGATTCGTTTTGCCTTAAATCCGGGGATGTTTGAAATTGATCACTAATTTTCATTTCAAAAATATTATTTCATTTCTTGCTGTTTTTAATCCATATATCCATCGTAAAGGACTGTTAATTCTACTTCGATCAGGCATTCTGTTTATGGCGATATTTTTAGCGCGAATCAGCACTTTGCTTTAGTTTCAGTGTCCTGTCGCATGCTGCATTCTTTCAGGGGTAACCATCTGTACAAATTGCCGAAAGGTCGAACTAAAATGTGCTATCATTGTCATTTGGCATTGACATTTCTTATTCCAAGCATTCTTAAAAAGTTGAAACAAGATTTATAACAACTTTTAGCCACCAAATATTTCAAAATTTCTCGTTTTCGTTCAAGACCAATACCCAAAGCAAGTCGTGTTTCGAAAATACGAGCAAAAATACTTGGCGAATCATGTCATGGAAAGAAAACAAGCAGAGTTCGAGTTTGAATGTGGTTTGCTCTGCGCTCGATATGAATCGTGTACCTCAGTCAATTACAAAACATCTGGTATTGGTAACGGTCGCTGTGAGCTCAACAATAAGACACATCAAGACATAACTGATGAAGATGAAACAAGCAGCCCTGAGTTCAACCATCTTGTCGTAATTAAACCAGTAAGTTAACACGTTATTTTATATCCAACTTGGCTTTGTACAATTGATGTTAAACAATATTTTGCTTGGTATTCTCTCTTTTAGTTGAACAAGGAGCCTGGTAACGTATATTCCCCAAGTAAGTATAGGAGTGTATATAATGCGTTTCCACTAAATCTTTCTATTGGTAATTTTAGCCTATTGTAAGTGGCATACAACCTTTGTTTTTTCTATGCAATTTAGTTTTGAGAGAACGCGAAGTAGTTTCGTCTTGCAAAGACTTGTTACTCAAGAAACCGTGAGTTTTATATACAGCTGACATTGACTGTTTTTCTTCAATGCATGTTAGCAGTAACGTATTGAAAGGAATTATTTCATCTAGATCAACGCCTAATGGTGCTCACACTCTGCAGTTAAACATATCCTCGACACCATACAAGGCATATTGTCACATGACAGATATTCCAGGTTGTGGAGCTGGAGGCTGGACACTAGTGTTGAAAGTGGACGGAAATAAGGCAAGATTTCATTGCACCAATCAGTAATCAATCAGACTCTCGTTAAATGAAGCATAAAATTCTTAAAAGAAAATTTAAGTGCAACTGATCAGCTTCGTCTAGTTTCTGAGTTGTATAAACGTTACAAATTTTGTTTATTCTGTTGAATCTCTAGACATTTGATCACTCGCCTTGCTGTACACAAAAAATATTTTTAATCACTTCAAATAAACAATTATTATTTTCTTAGCAAACATTCACCTATGAATCACCTTACTGGACGAACAATCAAAGTTATGCAATTGAAGATGGACTTGAAGGACTAACAGAAAAAGAAAGTAAACTGGCCTCTTATTGGAACACTCCTTTTAAGAAAATATGTCTTGGTATGACCGTTAATGGTCACAGAAGATGGATGACGTTGAATTATGAAGCCAGTTCGCTATACAGTTTGATCGCAGACGGGCAGTATCGAAACACAAGCGCTGGACGGGCTGCGTGGAAATCTTTGATCGCAGGCTCATCTTTACAACTAAATTGCAACAAAGAAGGATTCAGCATTGAGAGTATACATATTGAAAATTATGTACGTATTGGATATCACGCGAATGATGAAAATAATTGTGGAACGCCTGATTCATGCATAGGATTTGGTACTTATTACAAAGCCTGCGGCGTGACGTCTAACATAACATGCGGTAATATCGCATTATGTTATAACAACGATAATGGCAAGAAACTCACTCCGGCATTCGGATATATTTTAGTTCACTAATACATTTTAGATACAAATAACGGCTTGATAAATATTGTGTTTATTCTAGGCATTAATAATGTTACTATACACTGAGTTTGATAAATTAAAAAAAGTCAGAAATATTAGGTAATTATACGTAGGTTGTGTGTATTGCAGGTAAACTTATTAAATATGTAGGTTCTGAGTTCTGTAAATCAAGTTCAGCTAGAATGAGAACTTAAAAAATAGTATGAAAGTTAGTAAGTAAGCTTAACGCACAGAAATTAGTTAGCTAAATGCACAGAAATAAAGCTCTATAAATTTTGCAACTAAAAAGTATATTTCTGCACTACAATATTGAAGAGCATTTTATATATATGCCCGTTGCTAATCTTGAGATAAGAGTTTGAATTACAGAATTGAATGCAGTTAAATCCTAATGCTAATATTGCGAGAGATGTAATTCATTGTACAAAATAACAAATTTCAAGAATAGATTTGCTGTTACATGAAGTAGCTACTAAAACGCGCGCGGTGCGACGGTCAATTTTACGTGGCAAAAAGGTAGCTATTTCAGTGGACAATTTGAAATTGAGATGAAGTTTGAGGTGTATGTATAACGTAAAGTATAATAAATAAATAACACCCCGTATACATTTACGATGAAGCTAAAAGTATTTGGCAAGACATTTACGTTTCATGTTATAAATATATATAAACCAAAGCAGATCTGGCTAAAATGTGATAAGGACAGCTAAGGATACTTATGGATATACATGACATTCTATAGAAGGACAGGTGAAACTCGAGTGTCCTAGCTTGAATGTAACCGGGTTGTTTATCAGTCAGCGTCGTTAATTTCTAACACAACACATGAAAGACATTGTCGAGAAACATAAGCAGTTAGCCAAACTAGTTCCAAAGTAATTTAGCTTGTAGGTACACCACGTAAGTATTTAATACTGCAAAGCTTTCGGTCCGTTAACCCGGGCCTTCATCAGTGCAATACGTGGTCTTATCGACTGTCACCATGGAAACATACAAAAATATTATTAGTTCCAAAGTGTTTAAACTAAACTGCCGTTTTAGTAAAGATAACGACTAAATGTTTGAAATAAAATTTGCCGACCAAGTGAAAACTAAATTTCAATTATTTCAGGAGTGCACATATTCATGGTGGGCGAGATCAATTTCTTTTCAAATTTATTGGCTTTACAAGGCGGTTAACATGAATATATGCATGAATACGCCCCCCCGCCCCCAATTATTGTGCTTCGTCTTTCCTACACCACTAGTATAGTATAAAGTGGTAGTAGTATAAAGTGTATAAAGTAGTTGAAAGTTCCGTTTGCGATTTACGCCGACTTCGAAAGTCTTACAGCGAAGATTGAATCAACCCAACCTAACCCTGAGAAATCATATACTGAAAAATACCAGCATCATCAACCTTGTAGCTTTGCATACATCGTGATATCTCACCATGAGAAGTATTCTAAAGCGCCTGTAGTAGTTTATCGTGGAGAAGACGCAGTCGACAAGTTTCTAGAGTGCTTGGAGAAGGAACAACAATATATTCAAGAGAAACTTGATTTTGTCGAACTTATGCGAATTGAGAAAGAAGAAGAGCAAGCGTTTCAAAACGCAATCAATTGTCAGATTTGTGGATTTGAACTTTGCGGAGCTGCACACAATGACTGCAACATAAACTATAGTTTTACAGGACGAATACCCGTTATTGTTCACAATCTACGCGGCTATGATTCTCATCAGTTTATATGCAAAGACTTAATAAGCTGAAAGAAAAGAAGATAAACTGTATCCCGAATAACACTGAAAAACATTTCTTTCTCTATTGATAATTTGGATTTTATCGACTCTACAATTTATGAACGCGTCGCTATAGATAAATTAGTATCAAATCTAGCAAAAAATGGTGCTGATAAATTTCATACTATAGAGAAGCTTTTCGACAGCGATAAATCTTTGAATCGTGTGCTTGATCTGAATACAACTTCAGTCAACAGGTACTTTGGCAATTTAAAAACAGCGATGGATAAATATAATTTCAAAGCACACGAGATTTTCAACTGTGATGAAAGTGGCCTAAAAAGGGAGACGAGGAATCTCGTCGTCAACAAGTGGTGAACGCGGCCAAACAAGAACCATTGTTGTCGCAAGCAGTGCATCTGGTATTTAATATACCACATAAGGTACCTATGATGACTTTCAAGAGAGAGAGAAACAATTTAATTTGTTGCCCATGCACCTACAGACACCCGTTGAATTCTTTTTTTCGTAAACGGTCGGTAGCATCCGATCGTAACTAGCCGACGTTCGACGAACATTTCCGTAAGCGGGAATTATGAGTATAAATTGAAAATTTCCGCGCTAAGTAAATTGAAAATTTCTACAGTTTGTTCGCCACTATAGCAGTAAACCATTGTTTTTCTCATTTCATATTTATACACGACCTTTATATATTACAATCTTGATGTATTACAATTTGGCAGAAACGCCAAGACCATACCTTATTAAAATTTAATATTTGACGAATGAATTGCTGGAATGACTTGTTAATTGAATCTATTTTCCTATTTTCCTGAGTAATATGAGTAAAGTTGCTACAACGATGTGGAAAAAATGCAGTGCAAATGTGCGTCAAGTATTACAAAACCATATTGGCCCTTCACCAAAAATGCAACATAGATGGATGTAACTGCCACCTTTGCCTTTCTGGTATCTTCTGGTAACATATCCCAAATTTTCACATATAATATCATCTCCTAGAGAGCCCTATAATCAACTGTCAAGAAAATTGTTACTTCCCCAGATGGTACATACTCATGATTAGCTGGCACAAGATTGGATAAAGGAAGGTCAGTGCATGAGGGTGGAACATAAATGTTCAAATAGTCTGAAGGTTTTCAACCGTGCTAAGGATTTAGCCTATGCCGTGAAAAGTTGTGTCGAGTGGTGATTGTACACATTGTGGCAAAACATTCCATAATGGCGACTTAGAAGCAACATGAAGTGCCACAATCCAAAGATCAATCACTGTGAGGTGTGTAAGAAAACTTTTTCCACAAAGCAGGGATTAAAACATCATGCAACTACTCACAAACTGAAGCAATTTTCCTGTGATAAAAGTATCTTAACATCACACAGCTATTTTAGAATCTAATTACAGTCGAAGAATAGTGGGCGAATGGTTTGACAACAGAGCAAGTGAAAGTGAAATATCCCTCTTATGTAAAAAACATTTGCTTCTCTGCATTAATGAAACTGTGGAAGTGTAATTCAACAACTTTGTGTTTATTCACGGAAATGGTCGGAAATCGCAAGAGGAAGAGGTAAGCTCCATCTGATAAGGCGATTGAAATTAATTAAGGGGCCCCCATTACTGAAGAGAGCGAAGGCTGTTCGTGGGAGAAGTGCTTATAATCTCTGTCGTGGGGAGTTTTTCAAAACAGGTAATTTGCACGTGAGAATGGTATGTGCAAACCATGGTGTCATGAAGATTGTTGCACTATCATCGCGACCAGTGCAACCTATGACTCATGTGTGTCACACAACGAGCATCAATTTTACTTCCAGCTATAATACATTACTAGTTGTAAAGTTTTATAAAAACAAGCTGAGAATGTTGTTTTATGTCAAGCCCACATATCTCTGCCAAAATAAAATTTAGATGAAGCAAACCACGTCATCTTTTAATTTTACAACACACGTCCTATCTTAAGCGCGTGTTTCGTTTTGCTCCGCATTACGTTACAATGCCGCCTACCTTTAGGTAAAAACGTACTGCCAGTATCACAGCAAACAAAATTACTGATGTAGTTAAACAAAGAATAGCTTTAGTTAAAATAAGCAATGCTACAAAATGAGTACATAGACAAGCACAGAAAAAACAAGCAGCTAGGCCGGGGGGGACACCACACAAGACAACAAACACCACACAAGGGGGAACACCAAACAAGACAACAAACAAAAGGAAAAGACGTTGATCGATAAATGCATATATTGTAGCAGAAAAACATAGCAGAAAAACATAGAAGAATAACGGACGAAACCATCATTTTCAATATTGCCATGTGAACTACCAGTAAAGAAGAAAAAATTGTTACCTTAATCTAGTTCAAACCCTCTTGTCACCTTAATGCCATTTATTTAAAAACCACTGAACCACAGGTAGATAGCTGTTTGCATTACGGCATTTAACCAAGTGGATCATATTAAAACAGCTGCATTCCACATGTTAACTGCACAGAAAGAGAAGAGAAAATTATCAGAAATAAATACCATGGCACCTGATGTCACTTATGTGGGCTTGTCCTGGTAATGTCCTAGAGAAAGAGACGTTTGTCAGGTTATGTGAACTTGTGCAAACTAACCTTTCATTTGCATGAACTTTCTGTTTCAAGCATGAAATAGTCCAAGACTGGACTAGGTCACCATTTTTAGTAACTTAGTATGACTTTATGATATCTGTTTGATATGTTGAATGTCATTCTTCGGGTTTCCCAAGTATCATTGAATGATCAAAATCAAACATACAACATCACAGGCACTTTGTGACAACATCTGTGTCTAAACATTATTCCAGAAAAAGATTAATATTGTGAGAAATCCGACAAGGAACAATGGATAGCTATTAATCTACAAATTATACCCTGAGTTACATATTCTGTCATGTTTGTTAACTAACTAATATCCAATGCTCCTTATTACACAAACAATTTGTTTTGTTGGCTCATCTTAAGTGAAAAGTAGGGGTTGATTAGAGAATTTTCTGCATAAAATATATTGTATTATATTATAGGAATTGCAATCATTGGGCACCAAATAAAAGCATCAATTTATAAATATTATAGGAATTCACTTGTAAAAGGTGGATGATTTAAAATATTTTTTCACATGGTTATATTTGCAAGCATGGTCAGAGCTGGGGCATTCCTAGCAAAATTGCAGGCCCTCTGATAAAATGCATTGCATAAAAAAGAATTAAAACTTCATGATTATTCAACTTCATGTCAATAATGCATAAATTGCACAGAATATATATGTTTTGGTTGCAGCTCATTAGTGTAGATTATTAAAACCTTGCTCATGCACATATTTGCAGCACGTACATTGAAGAAGTTTTGAACCTTAGTGTGGCATTACTAAAATCAATTTGCAATTATTTAAAATCTCACTTTTAGATCACTACAAAATATTACGATCTGCTTGAATAAGTTGATTTAGTTTTTTGTACGCATGGTACAAAACATATTTGTGGTAGTCTGGTAGACCTGTATTTTTACTGCTGCAATGAACAGGAAAATTAAAACTATAAATTATGAAACTTTAGAAATTAGCATACACTTTACTTTCATATTCCACATCGAAACATTTGATAATTCTATTACTCAAAATTGCACAGCAAAACAATGCCTAACTTGTCTATGGTGGCTTGGCTTTCCCTAGGTTTTTGTTGCCAGCCCTTGATTAAAATCCCCAGCTATGCTCCTGTTAGCAAAATTGAAAGCACCCCAAAATGGTTGACATTCATCATTGTGATGAAGGCAAATTGAAGAAATTTTCACAAGTTAACATTTGTAACTACTTTTCATGTAATTTTAATCTTTAGAATTAACAGCATGCATCTAAAAGATCATGATTCACCAGATGGGTTAATGTTAGGTTCAGCATACTATACACATTTGGTACAACAGGTGAACAATATTATAGGTGTGGGCTGTGTAGCTAGAATTAATGGCATAAAAATTGATACAGAATAAGGTGCCTAGGATGCCGATTTATGATTTATTGCTGGTTTACCATTTCAGTCAGTGTTTGAGTGGGGGTTAGGCTCAATTTTTTTATCGTTTTGGTGCTTATGTTGCACAGGAATGACAGGAGGAGTGGGTATATGATATAAATTAACACATATTTCCTATGAATAATATCAACAAACATAGCAAAAAAGTAACTCACCACAATTCCTGTCTCAATTTTGAATTGACCTTCACTCAAATATATGACATCATCTGAAACCCAAGAATATACTTCAGTAATGCTTACCAGATTGGAAAACATTTACAGGGTGAGTACATTAAGTCCTGAAAGAAATTGCGCTAAAATCTGATGCCTTACAGATTTACAAAGGAATAGGAGTTGTTAAAAACATTTTATGCGACTTTTTCTATCATATGGTTAACTCCATGTATCAGACAACATCACAACAAGCTTAATTAAGTCGGAATGCTGTACTCGAAGTGCTGTACAGCCTATACTCGAATTACTCTAGTGTCTATATAAGATTTACGCTCATTATGAACTATCAAGGGTTACTTATAAAACGTAAATAGGTAAATGAAGAAAGCAAGAAGTCCTTACCATTTGAAATACGTCTGGGGTAACTATTGATTTACCGACTGGAAATAACTGAAGTTTGAAATCCTTGCGATTTGCGATCAGCACGTGGTTTTACGGTGAATCCAGTTGATATCTTTTTTTTTGAACATAAATCACGGAAATATTCTGATATTCAATTAGATTTCTTCTTTATGGTTTTTAGAACCTTTTCTTTTTAAATCGATTTACCAAGCGATATGAACACAAACGCAAACGATTGACCACCAGTGACTGTTCCTGTGACTTTTCACAGTTGACCACTGACCAGTGACCAGCCAGTGCTTCCACCTGGCCAGACTAAATTTCTCACTCACCCAAAAGTAAGCGGAGAAAAGGTGGTACACCACATATATGCAAATGAACTTATAAAATTGAAAATATTAACTTCTGAAATTTTCAATATTTATACAGACTTTAAGATTAGACTTCAAAATCCCAAATATTTCTTGTTTCAAGAAATTTTTGTATTTAAATGTATACATTCGTTTCAAACTGATTATCCCTGCAGTAGAATGATTATACATGCAATAAAAATGTATTGATACCGGTATACCGGACATGGAGTATACTCGGCCGAATTTGTCAGCCTGTGAAAACAAATTGAAGACTATGTGGTTTTAGAGGGATAAAACAATCTGACCCATTATCCGGTGTATGCATGAAAATCGAAATTGTATGCCTCAAAAGTACAAAACATTTATATTTATATTACCGATAATTTGTTTAATAGAAGCTGAATGTGAAAATATCATGAATTTGAGAGTTGCGTTTTGAATCTCACTCCCATATTTCGACGCCATCTAGAAAAAATGGAAACAAATTAACGCCAAAATGACAAACGACAATTTTTCACGTGTGAAAAACATTGTACGTCCAATCAAATTACATAAAGCCGCGCATGAAGATAATGACCCAGTGAATATACGATTTTCATATCACATTCTACTGTGCATAATTCTCTATAATATATACACATATAATCAAAATATGTTATAGCCTACCTGGGTTACCAACCTTGTACTTATTTTTTTGTGTCACACACTGATTTATCGAATATGCATATACCGGCATCCACGACTTCTTTATTGTATGAAAATATAGATAATTGCACAGCTTGCCATACAAGTGTGTTGCATTGTTGTGCTTCAAAATTGGAATTGAAATTGAAATATAATACTTTCACTTTGAAATGTTTCATTATCGTGTTTTTGCAACCCTGTTGCACATGATTATGCATATCGATCAGTATATATTTAGCTGTGAAGTACTTTCTAGTAAATAAAAATTCAATCTGTTAACCAAACAGGTACACATCGCATATATTTTTCAAACCTATGTTTGTTACGGAATGTGAGACCAGAGGCCGGTTGTATCAAGCCCGTTTAGCTTAAACGGTGGATAAGTCAAAATTAAATAACACTCTTACCTAAATATTAGTACCTTATAACACTCTTACCTCTTAATTAAATATCTCTCTTGAATGATTCAACTTGAATATTATGCACTGGGTATGTAGTTGTAAACAGTATCTTTGTATAAAGATGAAAATATTTAGTTCGCTTGTTGAATAAAACGATAGACTTGATTTCTATTTTGAAATTATCCACCGTTTAAGCTAAACGGGCTTGATACAATCGGCCCCAGGATTGCAAGCTAACCTTGAACACGTTTTTTGGCGGAGAAGAGAAATTTACTGTAACACAGGTTGTACGTAACACTGTTGAATTAATTTTGCGTTCCTCAAAATAGTTTGCTTGCAATATAATCTTAATGAAATTAAGACAGATTAACAGCGCCGGAATCAATCGCGCTGGTGGGACAGATATTGCCGCATTTAATTTGCCGCACAGTGATATAACCGTGCCCGATTTTATGGGTCGAGCACGGATGAAATTGGTATACACATTGGCGGATCCAGGGTAAGCCCGAATAGATTACTGTATCTTTAACTTGCAATCATATTGATACATTTTTATGTTTTCATAATTCTTTGGAAAAGAATAACCAATAGCGTTTTTATTATAACAAGGTATTTTGAAATTGCTTGAAATTAGGCCGGGTAATTCACCCTGTTTCCGCTGAATCCGCCGATAGGTATACATGCAGTTGCCCATTTTAAGCCCGTTTTTCGCCAGGCGAATTTATTCGCGTGAACTGATAAAAAGTAGGATACGATTCTCCTTTTCCCGGCGATTCTTTCGCAAACCAATCACATCACAGGATATAGCGTCGCGTGATATTCCGGGGAATATATTTGTGTGGTGTTACCCTGCGTGCAGCAAATAACGTAGACTTGCTACAAGTCGACTCTTTAAACCCATACGCGAGCTTGAGCGACCGAGCGTAGCGAGGTCGCGAAAGCGAGGGAAGGGAACGCGCGGAAGAGTCGACTTGTCAAACTTGCTTCGCGCCATTTTTGGCGACCCAAAATCAGGTCGCTGAATTAATTATTATAACTAGAAATACATGCATGCAGCAACCCCTCGCCACGGTTAAAGGAAATGAGTTAATGATTGTTAGAAATTTTATGTGGTTTATGGGTTTTGGAGGGCACGTGGTATGTGAGAAATAGAAATTGAGAAAAGTATGGAAATATTTTTCTGCACGTGGAAACACTGTAGTCATAGCAACTCGCAACGGCCGTATATTTTTAAAGATCAAAGTTTACCCTCATATTTTTGTGAAAAAATGGCAAAAATACGACAAGATTCTTACCTTTTTCTGGAAGTTAAGTTACTCATCTATAGTCAGTGTTATGGTAAATTATTTTAATTATTAAATACCATGAAATATAACATCAGACGTCTCATACAACGCTTCGACTGGTTTTTATACGGGAATGTTTTGATTTTGTTTTCTTTTTGTCATTATGAAAACGGAGTTTACAAATAAAATTATAATGTCGTTTATCACATAACACATTCAGATTTATAGTGAAATACATTTGAGAATATTAAAGTTGTGTTTGCCACAAAATAATTACTTTTTAAAGCTGTGCCGGATGAAATATTATCAAGTGTAAAATCTTCCGACTTCCTTATACACGGTGAATTCGGTCGAAAATTTGGTCTTGTTATTTGTTAAACCGTGAAAAGTCCTGACCTCATTCGAGTTTCCCTCTAATTTAGTAAAAATACATATATTCCATATTTATAAAAATATAAATTTGTAAATTTCATCAAAATTTTGCTAAATGACAGTTACTCATTGACGTTTGAAAATACAAATTTTTGTCTCGACCAATCAAGAGCTTAGTAGTTCACATTGGCGCATGCCCATAACGTAGAAGACCGTCCATGGCGTGAGGTCCATTGCATAATGGCAGACGACTTTGATTTCGCATTTGCATATCGTGGGTGTAAATATCCGAGCGGAATTAGTACCCTCGCACGGTGCTCCGCACCGGCTCGGGGATTATCATTTCGACTATTCAGCGTGAATAAAAATGTCAATCAAGGTGTCCGATTGGTGTCCGATTTCACTTGATTAGAAAATACTTTGATATGGCTTCCATTATCGAAGCGATTGGCAAAGCAAAGAAGTCTGTTGGTTACTCGGAACTGAAAGAGTATCTTCGTTTCAGCACCCACAGGAGCTGGGAAAAGCTTTGCATTTGAGTTAGCACCATGTCACCATACGCCTTCGAGCATTTATTAGGAAATTGATTGAACACATTGTCATAGTAATATGACCGTTTTGGCGCGAAGACGCAAATAGAAACCTTGCAAGTTTGACAAGTCGACTCTTCCACGCGTTCCCTTCCCTCGCTTTCGCGACCTCGCTACCCTCGGTCGCTCAAGCTCGCGTGTGGTTTTAAAGAGTCGACTTGTAGCAAGTCTACCAATAACGGAGCAAGCTTGTTTTTTGTTCCTGAACATCCATAAGTTGTCAAATATTTTCAGGGAAGAATCATTTTTCTCCGTCCAAATCCAAATCCAAATCGAAAGGAATGTGCGGTTTGCCTTTTGTGTTGCGTCGTTGCGCTTCTTGCTGATAAAATATTATCACTTTCGTTTGCGAAGCTAAGTTTCATAACTCTTATTTGTGTGTTTAATTGGTTGCATGACGCGCCTAGAAATCGTTTGAGGAGTTTGTCTTTAAAGTGTTTTCCTAACAGAAAATCCGCCAAGGTATGTCCATAGATATGATAAAACTCGCATTAGTAAGCTGAAGACTTGTAACATAATATTCAATATTGGGCCGGAATCATGGACGCATACATATAACATTTAACTCCATGGTGCTCAGTGATGAAAATCAATTTTTCGGTCGATATTTTAAGAGTTAGACGAGAATTATCCCTCTACTGCTCTATTAGTCAAAGATAGCTTCATTTCTAAATTATTGTATGCCCAACTTTCACTTGACCAATTTCAATTTAATATTCTTTTAATTAATTTTGTATGGTGATACCACGTACACAAACGTTCAAAAGTATAGTTGCACGGATGAAGGTCCGGGTTAACAGGTCGAAAGCATTGCAATAACAAGTACGATCGTACTATAGTGGATCAGAAACTGCGTGATCGAGTTTCGATCTTGTGAAAATCGTTAAACGCTCAAGAGCTCCAAGATTATGACTTGATAAACAAATAAAGCTTATAATTAATCATAATTAGTCGTCCACATTCGTGAGCAGCTTTACCGGGATTAACTGTGACTGTATTTACAACAATGAAGAGGACAATGTATTTCTAATCGTTAGCGTTTACTTATATATATATATACAGGGTGTCCCAAAAAAAACGCAACCACTTAAATATGCAAGAATATTAATATTGTTCGGGTTTGCACCATAGTTCAGCTAAAATGACTTTTAGCATTGTAAATGAAGGATTAAGAGCCATTTTCAATTCCCAGAGGTGCTTATCTATTGCGCTTTAGAGCTGTATTAATGTTCTGCATATTTAAGTGGTTGCTTTTTTTTGGGACACCCTGTATGGGCTGAACATTAATGATATGTATATATTATTTGCGGCAAATATAGTCAAGAATTGCTTGTAACTTGCTTCAAATCGATGCGGAACATTGCTTGGAATAATTCTGCCAAGTTTCATTCCGATCAAACAAGTA